AAGATTTAAGCACATCAAGCAACTTTGAAGCAGAGAGGTGAATGTGCGTATGTGAGCAAATACAGAGAAAAATTTGTAGTAAAATAGCAAAAGAGCACAGTAATGCAAAGCAAAGGCTAATAATAGTATTAGAGTACATGTATATATGAGGGAGAGAAAGAATTATCGAGCGGTGTTTAAGCTACCAACATTTTAGCTAGAGTCTGTCATGTGATCAAGCGTACATGTTTATACAAATATAATAGGGATCATAATAGTACAAAAAACTATATGAATTATTACTGTCCAGGTAACACTGTCAAGTAAGTTATTCAGTCTCCAGTTTTTACATTCGTTGGTTATGAACCAATGAATTTAAATCAATGTACACCTCAGGGTGACGAAACCCCAGGAAAGTACCAATATTTTGTTATAGATTCATTGAACTCACCCTTCAACATTTTCAAAATAGTTGTGAAATTGACTAAAGGATCTTTAATTAACGAGGGTCTTGACATCAGAAGTTGCACAAGGACATACATTAGGTCCACTGATGACCTAATAAATAGAAATATCTCAGCGACCGTCATATACACTGACGACGTAAAGATATGGAAGTCCATAAGAGACGAAAAGGACCTCACAAAAAGCAGCGAAACGAGTGATTGACACAGCTTAAATTTTTAATACCAAGATGTAATGTTACCACAGGGTACAGATAATCCTCTTTTGATTATCTCCACAGAAAGCGATCTACGTCTTTTAACAACAGAGAACCTAGATATTAGCGTAAACTCCACTGTGGAATCAAACAAAATACATTTGAATCGTCATTTTTAGTGAAGACAGCATGATGCCAACAGTTTATAATGTGTGGCGAATTCTATTGGCTACGTGAATTGTTTCGTCAGATTAACGGCCCAATACCACACAACAGTTCCCTTTCTAGATAGAACGATTTTAGCCTACCAATACTTATTGTGTCTGCAAAATGTAATCGATAGACGAACTCACCAATAATAAAGGGAAACGCCCACCACCACATTAACTCCCTTTGACGTTGTGCCACTGTATCTCTTTATTAACCAATCACAGTTTGATGTTCATTGTAAAACAATATTTGCTTGTTGACTCATTTTTCCTATTCTCTGGCTACTGTTCGGTATGTTATTTGTCTGTTTTTTCCCTGTATTAATAGACTGTACAGTTTGTTTGTACACTAACGATGTTAATTTATGTTCTAGAAGCAGATAAAGTTTATCTAGCCAAATAGCTTGCTTGTTCTGACTTTGGCCAAACCAAGACTCTGTATTCGACGGTCTAGAGAATAGCTCAGAATTAAACCTGTAGGAAATTGCTCCCTACATTGTCTGTGGTTCCATGTAGGCCTCGAGTGTTCGCGAGTATTCAATGCTTTGAACCTAGACATTTTGTCTCGTGATTGATCGACGTAACCTGAAAAGTCAAGTCTTAAACTTTCAATACAAGGTATAATAAACTTACATAGCAGCCAGTTCTGCTACCGAACACTGGGAGTCAGGTTTGTTAGCTGGTTTCAATCTTAACATGAGTAATGTCAATAATCCTCTGCCTTGAGTGTGTTTTGAGGATTATACTAGTGCGGCTTTTAATTGACAATTTGGACGTTCCATCAGCCTACTAAACTGATGGTAGTGCTGTGTGAAACCTATTCTGCAAGCTTCCAGATATTTTGCTAAGCTGCTGAACTTCCAATCACCTGTTGATATGATAAGCGTACCATAAATGGTCACCCAGTTCTAAATGAAACGTTTTGACACAGTTTCAGTTATGATGTTAGTTAGTGGTGACGTTACTAAAAGCCTCATGAATCTGTGTTTAAATGTAAATACAAAATTAAACGATAAGATACTGGCTAAGGACCAACTTAATGTACACGAACGTCGACAAAATGTGCGTCAGGCTATCAGAAAACTCTGATCAGCGACGATCAGCCACTAACTGTTGGCACGTCGAACACTCTTCAAACCATTTTTATGATTTTCCCGAAAATTTGTCAGTGTATGAACATATTTGGTTAATAGTAGCTTTTGCTTAAGGACGAGATGTAGCGTGAAAATTGCTGAATATTAATTTCCCCATATTTTTTGGGACAAAGAGTCAAGGTATTTCTCTGGAAGTATAACGTTTACAGTATCCTATCTCTGACAGAACGAGTCATTTTGTGATGAAGACCAGTTACAAACTAAAGAACTTCGTAATAAGAAATAAGTGTTAGGGTTAATTCAGATACGCGCGTTATCGCCCAGTAAAAACCTAAATTAGATTGAATGACTTAATGCCAGTGTAACGACCGAACTGCCAGTATTCCGTTTGAACGCAGGACTGACAAAACAAAACGTATTCGGATAGTCTAGACTACGTTCTTCTGTATAGCGTACGAAGCATTTTTGAGTTACTCGTATTAAATTATATCAAAACACAAACTCCGTGCTCAATTTGAACGGTTAGAATGTAAGAAATAGAACAAATTATATCAGGATAACAAAATACCTCAAACGGTACAGCCTGTGTTGTACAGTCAGAAGTTTCTCTTACTTAAAGTAGCGCGCTGAACAATAAAAGAAACAGTTAATACCAAAGGGTTTGATAACTGAGAATCAATAAGAGAATTCCCAACAAGATGAGAACACATATCTATCTGCAGGGATTCCAGCAATCCTCCCAAACAGTCAGTCAAAAGGTTAACAGTCACACGCTAAATCACTCTGTGACCTTGAGCTTAGTCAAGCACGACCTTACAGTCAATAGCACGGCAACATGCAATAGATTGTTAGGTAACAAAATATAAGTCTTTAATCAAAATCACGTAATAAAAGCTTAGACGAGAAGGACTGAAGAACAAATGGTGTGGTTAAACGAGATCTGATCAAAGGTCAAAATACACGACAGGGAGAAGAAACAAATAAACGACAGTGCTGTCCAGCAGAAGGGCTGTGGAGGGATTTTCATTGTTCTCTTTCATTTACAGCCGGTTTCAAATTTCGTTATAAATTTAAATAAACAGAATACGCCCATTATGACATTAAGTAAGAAAGAAAGATTAGTTCAGCGAAGAGTTCTCTTTTCGGCGAATTCATTTTCAAAGCTGTACAATCGCAAATATATATGCTTATTTTTACAGGGTGATACTAATATTGATAACAAACTTATGTTGTACATGGCGACAGTGAGGTTAAATAAACAAAGGCAAAAAATTTTTCAAACAACGAAAGCTTAATAATCGTTTGATAGTTAATGGCTGAAGTATTCATTGGGTAAGGATGGCTCAGCATGATAAAATAAAATGTTGAAACAGAGATGAAATGTGATCGGAATGATCGTGGAAATAAAAACAAACCGATTGTACAGCTTCGAAAATGAATTCGCTGTAAAGAGAACTCTTCGCTGAACTAATCTTTCTTTCTTATAAATTTAAATGTTGATTAGCAACTTAACAAACATCACCACCCAGTTATTTAGGAATTATTTGCTCAACTAATAGTAATATCTAAATTAAGTTCGGAAGATAAATTGATAAAGGATATGAGGTTATCTTCAAATGCAACAAATATACATCCCTATTTATACGTGAACCTTATCCTTTTGGGAATGATCATGTACAGATTTCTTGAAAGATGATATCAAGTTCCAATAAAATATCAATAGCAATATGTTTGCAGTTCTGCGAGAAGGCTTCAACTCATAGTCTAAAATACATTTGCCAGTCAGTTTAAACAACACGGCCAAGCAGGTAAACGGCAGAATATGGTGGCCGCCACTACCAAATTTCAAGTACCACAAAGTAAACGGAGTCCAGGAAAAACGCAGATTCAGTGAAAACGTGCGAAAAACAAAAATGTTCAGTACTTCTGAGGAACAAATTTCGACTGGGGACAAAATAACATATTACATGTGGATAAAAATGAGTTACACATAATGACTAAGAGTGCAAGGTTAATCCATGCCTTACTGATCACTCTCGACCCTCTCTAAGTGTTACATGTGGATTGTAAATCTCAGTAATTATTTGCATGGCTTAAAAAATTGCATGGTTTAGATATTGTGTCACTGCAAAAACCGATCAACGGTTGCAATGACCATATGTAATTGGCTGTGAATTGGCAATAAAAGTTCATTAAGCCTGGAAACACTTCTGATTTGTGGTAAAGAACCTAGTGTGAGTTATTTTCTAATGGAGCCCAACTCTTTATATCGGTTTAATCCATTCTCAGTTCATTGTGCGCCCGATAATTTCTAAAGTTTGAACCCCCAAAACACTTTCATTAACTTATGGTCATTTCGCTTTCATTCAGCTGTTTTGAAACTGCTCTCGCGTGTTGGTAATTTGATGTTAAACCATAACATATCCACGAAATATATCCAGCTTGATACAATTACGTTTTTTTATCCACATCGTTTATCTTCCGTTTTTACATATTAGTCTATTCACTCTTCACTACTAGTCAGCTTATTTACTTAAGTGTTCAGACAACTGTCTTTTCTTGGATCTTCTGTATTTAATATTTTTTAGACATTTTTTTACCCACGTAATCACTCCCCTGATGATGAAATGGCTGTTTGTTACAGAGACTCTACAAGCTTGGGATAAATCCACTCATTCAGACTACAAGATAATAAACGTCCCAAATAACTTCTGAACTGACTTATAATAGTGCAGTCTATTGGTTGAAATACCACCCAGTGGACATCAAAAAAGACTTTGAAGCCGTACCTAAACAACAAGAAAAGTGTGCAAAGAAGTAAACCGGTTCTTACAAGCCCTCTACAACGATATTAGACATCAGGATTTATAACACTATTCTAAACTCCATAAATGGTTTAAGTTTCTCAGCCACATTGAAATAATTCAAGATTGTCATAAAACACAGCCTCGTGACAATATCAACAAAGCTCGGAGCGATTTGCCTAGACTTCAGGTCTGTTATATTGCTTGCATTTAAGTGTTATAATGAATATGTACATTCTCAAATGACCCTTGTGGTAATTTGAAATCTATATTTGACCTTGACCCGTAATCAAAATGCGTCGGAGACTTCTATCTGAGTCCCAAGTTGATAAGGAATACTTTAACTCCCTGATTGAACAACAAAAAGTTGATGACATCACGATTGGTGTTTTCTATCGATCTCGTACATTGTCCGTACTAGTTATCATCTGGTTGTGTTTGGCTTACTTCGCTTTTTCAAGGTACTTCGTTTGTTAATTTAAATTTGAAATTAAGGTCCCCTACACAACCACTGCAGTATAATTTATATCATGCATTTATGGCTGTATGTGTTATATTTTTATTGATATCGGTGATGATAATGCCTAATGGTACGTTTACTAGAATTTCCAAACTGTTTACATGGAATTTTTTTGTTTTCTTGCTGAATCAAGTTCCGTATATGGAATCTGTTGAGGCATCCGGTTTAAAATAGCATTAGCTTCAATCTGATTAGTCCGTCCATAAATTGTAGTTTCACTAAATTATCTTCAAATTTAATTTCAAGGCATGCATAGTGTCATATCAACCATTCCCTCATACATATATGATATTAATAGTATGCCTTAGTTTGCGTCAAGCTATCTAAAAGTATACATTTTTTAGACGTCTATAGTGCGACATAACGTAACTGTTAAATCTTATCCGAAATACTGTAATTGGTGGATCTAACCAACGGTCTAACTAAGAAACTAGCCACCCAAGATTTCTAAAGTTTTGCTTGAAACAGGTTACTCATAACGTGGTTCTTTTTTAGCACCAGGTGTCCTAAATAATATTTACTTTTTAACTTGGTTCTATATGTCAATTCAATGGTACGTAAGGAAATATACACTGGTCGTTACAATGATAATAGAACAGGGATCATGAGTATTTAGCAACTTAAAAATGAGTAATACTTTCTTCATATACAGTACTAATACTGAACGCGGATTCTCCGGTCGTTGGAGGACATGGTTTTTCCATTATATTTCAAAGGTTGGTTTCTGCAGATCATTAAAATTCTAAAGAAATGTAACCAAACAACAACACAGGTAATAAACCTGGGTTTCTCCGTAATAGTTCATCTCCAACTCAATTATATGCCGTTCCTTTTGTATCATATTTAACTTTTATTCGACTCATCAGAATGTTACACGACTGGTTGTTGCTAATGCAACTATATGTTTTTTATAGTTTTCCCTATCTTATATTTTGTAAACAAATGCTTTTAATGAGTGTATCCGTTTATCGTGATAAACAGTGTTCATCCATACTACTAAAAACAAACTTTCAAATTCATTCTAGGCCCATTTATTCGACCACATCCAGCCCTATGGAGGATGGTTTTTGGTGCTAGTTTACTATATTTTTTATGTTTAGTCGCAGTCGTGTTTCTTCGTCTAGATGAAGCTCGCGCCATTTTGATTTGGGTATATCCTGAACTGAAACATATGCGTCACTCTGATATTCTTGATAAAGAGTATGCCGTTAATTGTAGTCAGGTTTGTTATTTATTTGTAAACGGAATTATTTAAATAATACCTCCTTACATAAGTATTCACTCACGCTTTATGTCTTCTACAATTTTGTGGTTTAGAAATTCACTTATATTTTTTTCAGAATTCTCAGTTAATTTGGGTAAATCAGTGTAGAAAATACTCACAACTATACGTACTCTGTCACTCACATATTTATTATGTGTTAACTTCCCAGCTTCAGTAATTCTTTGATGTATTTTAATTCAACACCATTTAGTTTTGTTTGCTTGATTTATTAATAATGCAGTTCGATTGTTGGTCACCCAACTACTGGTTTTCAGTCTTTTTTAAATTATTTTAAACTCTTAATTACTTTTTGAGCATCATAGATTCTATTTTAGGTTTAAACGGTAGAGATAGCAGCAAATGTCTTAAAACTCCACTTCTTTGATTAGCTGAATCAGTAATAGTAAAAGTCAAGTCGTGGAAAACAACCAAGGTTTGCACTAGTTCACCACTCCTTATTCTTCTATAATTGAGGATGAAATTCATTTTTCCTGTCTAATTTAATCCAAATGATTTATTTTGGTGGAAGTTGTTTACTATAGTGTCTGTGTCCTTTACACCCAACCCTTACTCTGATTTTGGTTTAGTGTTTGAGTAGCATGATAACTGAGCATTATGTTTAGCGTTCGACTCTCAACTCTATTCCACCTACTCTCATTTGGGTAGAAAGGCAGGTAATATCTTTAGCTGTTGCACATGGAGTAGAGCCGGATGTATGGATGTGCACTGAGTAAACAAATAAAATTTATAACACCTTCAGGACCATAAATTATGTACTACCTAGTGTCCCTGACCCATCTTTACAATGGCTGCTTAATATAATCTTTTAACTTGCAGTTCTATGACGCCGATTATTCTATGAAAGAATATAAAGTCATAGTCAGCCTAGAATTTAGCACAAGTATGCGTCAGAACAAACTATCACATTAAAAAACATCATTTTAGTAAAGATTACACAGATACATTGCTTTACTAACCATATTGCTCTATTAAATAAGGTTCTTTAGTAATTGGTCACAAGCATTAAGCGTAGCTAAAATTTCTAGGGATTATTTATGTATATTCTTTTCTATCCTCTTAAGTATTTCGTTTTCCGACTAAAGATGTCTATTTTTCTCAACCCAACTGTTTATAATTATTATTTTGCTACTTCAAGATATCACTTGCTCGAGTTTATTCTCATATGGATATCTTTGCATTGGCACATTTTCTTGGTTGGCTTATTAAAGCAACTCTATTAAGACATCATATTATTGCGTGGACTTTGTCGATCAATTGGGAAATAACCGAAGTAAGTAGCTTAATGATTGATATATTTTTATCTTTAAATATGCTCGTATATCGTGGGACCATCGAGTAAGTAATGCAATTGTTAGGAAACGGGTACTAGGTAAGGATGGCAAATCAATCGATGATGTAGTGAAACTTCATCAGTTGGGATGGCTTAGACACGTGTTACGTATGCCCAACGACTGACTGCCTCGACGTGCGATGTTCAGTGGTATAGGAGTAGGTTGGAAGAAAGCTAGGACCGGCCAGACCAAAACATGGCACAGGTCCATGAAGTCACTGACAAACGGTCTGAGTCATGTCGGTAGGTGTGGACTACCTGGTTGGGGACCGCGAGATGATAGCAACCGATGGTTAGAGACCCTGAATGACATGGCTCAAAATCTTTAGCAATGGCGCAGGTGCATACACTCTTTGTGTTCTCACAAATTTTGATCTCCTTATTCCTCCTTGTCTCTTTTTTTTCTCCTCAATTTATTTCACTCTATTATACTCTTTAAGTAACATCTCCAAACACTAGTCTTTCCGATTACTGCTTATACTCTTATTACCTCTACCACTACGGGATTTGAATGGACAACTGCATCTCTGTGCTAATGTGGTGTGGCAACTCGAACTGATGTACGTACGTACGAAGTTCTACGTTGTTACTGACTGACTACTGATTTTTAAATATTAAATTTAACAAATTCACTGAGATATTCAATATTTGGAAGTGGTGGATAGGAAATCATGGACTCAAGTTTTTCTACGAGCTATCATATATCAACAACGTTTTCCTTTGATATTCAGGGAATTGATCCTCTCTGTGTAATTCAAATGAGTGCCAACTAACACGAAACTTAGGCTTAGAGTTTCTTGCTGACTACTTCCAACTACTTATCATCTCAACAAAGTACATTTTATGTTGAGTTGCCTAGACCAGTGACAACACTGAAATGGGATTGGTAGAATTCGATTAACAATAGGGATTAAACAAACAAGACATTGAATACTTATCAGTGATCAATCAATGTTATTCGTTATATTGACCTATCCTTATAAGAACTTGAAAGTTAAGGGAGGCTACCGTTGTTGATTAGTCTCGAACTAGGATGAATGTATACAAAGTTTTCATAAATCCATCTCACGTAGAATTATTTGCTATTATTTACTGTGATGCTACAACCTAAAGTTGTAACATTATTTCCAGAAACTACAATATGAAAAGATGAAAAATAAGAGAGAGCAAATAATTTGTAGATACTTTAATCCTAGTGCATAAAAGTATATTACCACTATATGACACAGTTATCTGATTGCGCTACTAATATATACGCCTCTTATATGTGGGCCCGACGTGCTGTCTAAATGAGAAAACTCAGAGTTATTAGAAATCTTTCATGGACCAACTGAGTTGAGAATGCATGCACACTCATTTGTAAACAAAGTTCCTTTTCCTTTGGAAAACAAAGCCTCATATTCAACCATTGGTGTGCGCCCATCATCATAATCTTTTCACTGCTCGTTTTGCTTATATCTTATTGGCCCATTGTATCACCTTCCCTTCATGAAAAATAAGTTTTCTTTTGTGGACTAAACTACATGAATTGAGTCGAGGATACATCGGTTACACTCACATCAATTTAATTAGTAAAATAATTCCAGTGTTCAATGGTCCTTCAGATAATCTTTGCGTCAATCTGTCAAATCCACACCTATATACGTGTTCTTATAAAGCTGTTAAAGAATTGTTTTCATTTTTTAAATAGATGGCGATCAGAAAATTAATTTGACACGTTTTAGTAACCATTAATGATAAGTTTGAGTACAGCTTTAGATTTAAACTCAGTCACAACGTAGGACCAGGCACATATATGCATCGGCCCAAGTTGCCATACCTCGTTAGCACAACGAGATGAACACCAAATTCATAGAAGTAGTTACTTCAATGGTAGTAATATATAAAAGACATATTGTGTATAAGGATATAATACAGGTAGAAAGAACTAGTTGGTAGAAAGAAAGATATAAAGCGGTTTCGATCTCACGGTTTAAGGGAAGATAGTGTATACACCTACGCCATTGTGATCGATTCTGAGCCATGTCACGTGGACCCCAACCAAGTAGTCTGCATCTGCGAATATGGCTCAGACTAAAGTTAGTGGTTTCAAGGACTGATGCTAGATTTAAATTCTTAACTATCTGTTCTGTTTTTTTTTCAGCTGTAGTGATCGAAGCATTCAGATTTCTTAACTGGTAGATTACAGCTGTTCAAACACATTTTTCCCTACCTAACTTTATTTGACTAAGTCGAGTGGTATCACTCTAATCGCCATGCATAAACAGTTTGACTTAAAGCAGTTGAGTACATTAACTTGTACACTGAATAAGTGGTTTATAGTTAATCATATATATAAGCTTTATATATTATTGTAGTGTAAAAGAAAGACATCATTATATCATTTAGGTATCTAGGATTTATCTGGTCACAAACTATTCTGTATATAAATGTAATTATTCAATAATACTCGATAACAGGTAGGATGACGTTTAAACCTGCGATCTAGCAGTTGGTAATTACCGATTGAGTGATGTACGTAGAAAGATTTCAGATGGTGAATAACAGTTTCGATGGCATAAAAAAGTAGGTAATGTAATTTATCACACTCCATTCAGTAAAGATCACTTCATGATGACTTCTAAAACAATTGAGTCCCAATACTCAACCCAAAATCATTTGGTACAAAATAACAGGAAATCTCGTTGCTTATTATAACTATTAGAAAAAAACAATTTATTGGAGCATAAAGAAAAAACCTACGTCGTGAAGGAACTCTTTGAACAATCAGTCAGTTACTTTATGACTTACTCGTAGCACATTTCTACCGATTAAACTGTCAGTCAAGTTTCTGACACATTACTTCAATTACTATTAATTAAAAATATTATTCGACTGAGCGATAAGTCATTAGTTATGGTGTTCACTAAGTCACCGGTCCTCGAACTCGACTCAGCCTTCGGTTTTTTTGGCGATCAGGTCCTCACAATTAGAATTCGAGTACACTTATTTTATTTATTTATTTTAACACATAGATATTGGTACAATGAGGCACCAAATACATATGCGCCACACAAATCTCATTTGATATGTGTGAGGGCTGTGATACTACCCGGGGACCCAAACCAAAGCAGGTGATTTTCTTAGGAGGCCACTCCCCGAGCCTTCGACCTGAAGGTCTGATCCACAAGGCAGTGAGCATCGTAAGAAGATGCAGTCCTATGGAAGCTGGTGGCCAATAATTAATTCATACGCCGTTTGTTCCCGCAGGATACTGGGGCCCATGTGCACCATTGGTTTGGAATCCGGTTAAAGCGCCGGACATTCGCTTTTCGTCCTCTCATTTCCGTAAACAACACACTTGCCATGGGAAGTCAGTGAGTAGGACTTCCCTGGCAGAGGCTGTATACGCGCGGCCATGTGAGAGCTTTTCGATAGGGAGAGCGGACTCTCCCCACTCTCGGCCGTACCAGGGCATTTGGGGGCAATTCAAGTACACAGATCTGCTTTACCTAGTAGATGACCTTGATGTATGTGCTCAAATATTTTATGTATATCATTTATTTTTTTTCTTATTCAAGGTAGCTTTTTCACATATTCTACCAAATTTCAATGAATGTTGGTGGGATAGTCTCATCTTAGATATATTAGTCTGTAATGGTTTAGGTATACAATGTGGTATGTGGTTATGTCGTTGGTTAGAAATGCGTGATTATCAATGGGATTCCATTCGTAATATACCAAGTGCACGTGGTAAATTAAAACGTGCATTTTTACAGTTCACACCACGCAGGTAATTACTGTTTTTTCTCTGTTCAAAAATGCACTTTTTGTATTTTCATAATGATAAGAAAGAGTTTTATGGAAATCAGTTTAAGATGCAGGTTGTCTTCGTGACAGATCAATCTCGGTTAGAGTACCACTGAAAACCGGCGAGCGGTGGATAAACGTTTCGTCTCGTTATGGGGCTCTTCAACTGTGTCCACTCACGACCTCGCCAAGGGTTCATCTCAAAATCTTTAGGTATCGCAATTTAAAGAGACCAAGTTTCATGCTTGGATGAAACAGCTGTCTACTTCTCAATGGTTCTCAATTCTGCCCCGACTGTGATCAGTTTATGACGTGTACTGTTTCCAAATGATAATAATAGTAATATAATTTAGTCGTGAAGCTTTCAGTACAGTTCAAGACAATTATACCAGCTCCCACTTTAAAAAGAAGTGAGCTGGTGATAAGATACAGATAAGAAGAAATGGTGCCTCAATTCCAATGAAATGCTAAGCAAAACAAATGTACTTCGAAAGAAGTGATCAAACAATAGAGATTATAGAACAATATTAATATTTGAAGAAGGATGAGTGATGAATACAGGTAGCTTTGTCACTGCAATCGACTTTGAGCCCGATGTTTGTAACGGCAAAATACAGTGATTACGCGGGTCCCTCAACTTGTGATTTTTTATATGATCGTCTAATTCAGACACATATTTCTTATACATCAAGCTCACCTGCTGTATGATTGAGAGAAGACCTAAAAATAACTAGGAGCAGTAACTGATAAACCGAATAACTAGGTACACAAATCATTTGTATATACACATTTCTCCTCCTAACCCGGTCAAGGACATATAAGCTTAGACATAAATTAGGTGGAGTAACTGGCTTCCTCTAATAGAGTGCCTTGTTTGGTACTGAGACGTCTTGGGACACATAAAGATGATTTGTTTATACTCTCTTGGTCCATCATTTTCCACTCAGAGATATATCCTGGAACAGTCTTCATTGGTTTCATGCATCGATACAAAATGCCATCCTCTTATTATCAGTGTTCTCATTGGGTTAAATGAGCATTATCTAATCACTTGACGTCTGCTCTGTTTTGAGGTGAAGTGATCTACGAATAAGATAACAAAAGTAAACAAAACTTATTTACCATTGTAATTGTGATGAACACTCTCCTAGCACCAAATATCATGATTCAACCAATCAGTTTTGAGCAATGTTAGGACGTAGCAGCACTATGAGTAATGTACAAGGCTAACTTTCTCTTCTCTTTCTTAATGCATCCTGTTACATAAATAAAGGTTGAATTTTTTCTATACTCTCAAGAAGTAGCTTACGTTAAGTCACAAAGCATCAAAAATACAATTTTCCTACTCAGTGGGATATAACAAAAATATATTTATTATGCTGAATATGATAGTCTGGCGGAGTCACCTAGACTAGTGGCCATATTGCAACTTGGTCGATAGCATTCGATCTTCACTAAGAAGGAATTGACACACATGACATTGATCACCCAGTGATCAATCAATTAGGAGTCTATACTTGTCAAGTGTCTGTTGTTATATACCATCTCAAGGTCAAACAAGGCACCCTACTAGAGAAAGATGATTATGCCACCTAATTTTGGTCTAAGCCTATATATTCTTGACTGGGTCAAAATGACAAATGTACATATGACAATGATTTATGTACCTGATTACGCGGTTTGTCAATTACAGCTTCACAGTCATTCCACAATCTCCACACTTACGTAACTAGTTATGCAAACATATACAGAAAATGCATATGTATCTGAATTGAACAATCATAGAATATCAACGAAATACTGATTGTTAAAAAAAGTATCCAAAATAAAATACAACAAATTAGTTTATTGTAAAACATCCACATGTTGATCCTAAACAAGAAGAGGATCTCTAAAATGAAGAACACACGAAGTGTGTAGTGAATATTTGGTAAGAATAAAACAACCAAAACCTTGTAAGTTGCATTAGATAAATTAATAATGCTGTCAAATGATCTGGTCAATCATTTTACCATAATATATTTAGCATTTAAACGTAATACAACAATATCGTCAATATGGGAGGTTTTGAATTACCTATCTAATTGTTGATATTTAGAAGTGACTTTTGATTAGTCTTTGCTACTAAATATGTAAATTGCCTTTATATTCGAATGTTCCAACCATTTGAGTTTGGTGAAGCCTCACTCAGTAAAGTCGATAGGCTCAAGAACCCATCGCGTAGACGTGATTTCGTGTAAAAATCATTGGTAGTAAAATTCGACTCAAAGTCTTCATGTGTTGCCACAGAGTAGTCAGGGCAACCTTGCTAGCAAATTTGGGTGGTCAGCGGAGATCGGACCAACCTACCAATCTGCCCGATGTGTATGCTTATGTATATGAATTACATGAGTCTCAGTTTGTGTGGCTGTGTGTGTAGGTATATGCAAAGTGTACGCGCCAGGTTCTCAAAAGGAACGTAAGCTGAAATGTCTGCCATATGTCCAATAAAATCATCGGCTTAAACCATCAGGTTGAAGACATAATAATGATATTAACTACTCTGTTATTAGTTTTTTTCTAGAATAGGTAGATAGTGTCTAGAATTGGAATATAAGTCAAGTGTTTCGTCCTGTCCGGACTCGTCATCTGAATTCATTTGTATCCTTAGTGTTGATGTTCACGTTGGGACGAACGCAAGTTACTCATATATGAGTCCTAATGCGATCGTCAACATTCGGATCTAGGTACATTTTTAGTTGCCCTGCCTAACTTCATAAAATAACGATAGTGAAGTACACTTCCTTAATTAATTTCGTATATATATAACTGACTGGTGATTACGCAATAAAATAAGTCGAATACAAATCAACAGGTAGATGATAACGAATGAATTCCACTAGAAAAAAGCATTACCACCGGCCAACTCAACAAAATAAATTTTTGTCTCAGTCTATATGGTTTACATAGACAAAGAGTACTGTAGGTAATTAAATACAGAAAAGGTAATGAACCTAGATAAAGTGTTACGATTAATTATATGTGAATGCGTATAACATAACAGATATGGTTATCATTACGCGTGAAAAGGTCAGATAAGTTCACACAACAGTTTGTATCTATCTGTTACACCAATTCGCTATACAATTGGATTGAGTGTTTAGTATATTTTAAATGAATAAAATCTCACTACACACTCAGCTGACGAGTTCTTGATGGGACGAAACACGTGTCCTGGATTGCATATACTAGCCGTAATCTTTATTTATTTTAAGTAATAGAACAACTTTTTTTTTATCTAATCTTACAGTTTAGATGTTTACATTTCCATCTGTTTTGTTTAGTTGGACACATACACGTTGGTTACATCCAGATTCATCGATACTACGAAGTTTTTTACTTAGTCAATTAATACTAGTCTGGCAATTGGCTGAATTGAATTCATTCTTTTTAAAGCATATATTTATTGTTAAACCAAGTCATATTTTAACACAATTACGTCTACTTTTAATTACATGTATATCGGCACCAGCTATAAGGTAGGAGTATTGTCATTCTTGTTATTACTATCCATTTTTATTATTGAATTGTGTGTGTGTGTGTGTGTGCGTGTCAGTGATTAGTTTTACATCACTCATATTCTATATTTACTTACTAAAATTGACTCATGTTGCGGATCTATTCAAATGATGCGACACAAAGAAGATTAAATATGCTTGTTAACCATTAAAGATTAGTTGGTAGTTAGAAGCGGAGTTCAGAACCGACTTTTCTTCCTATTTGGGACTCGTTAGCTGGATGTACCTTCCATATCCTAGTGTTGATGTCCCAAATATAATGAGTCTCGAGTCCTGTATTCCACTACTAGTCACTATCCCTTATCTGCTTGAAAATGTTTGCGTTCTATTGATAATTACAATTATGAATTCAGAAATTCAAGAAAATTGTCTCAAATATCTGTAAAATGAACCTTTTATATATTTAATCGATAATGATATTAATATTTGGTAGAAATACTATCAATAAAACATATTTGGATTTTGTCACACACCATCAGCATATTAAGACCTACTACTGCAAATACTGCCTTCACCTCGATTTGTTGCTGTGTATGAGATAGAAGACATGAGTCGTATACGAAGTCTAAATCATCTATCTGCATCCAGGCTGTCTGGAAAGAGCAAGAGGAGGCAGCCTTGTTTGACACCGGTCATCACTTGGAATGCATCCGTGAACTGCTCTCCACACACGACTTTGCAGTGTAGTCCGTCGTCAAAATTCCGCATAATGGTGACAATCCTCGCAGGTACCCCGTAGTGTCGAAGATTCCATAAAGTTTTCCTGTCTACACTGTCAAACGTTTCTTCATAGTCAAGGAGGTTGAGTTCCATTCAACTGATCGTTCAACAATAACCCCTAATATCGCGATCAGGTCGATGCTTGATTGACCCTTGACTGATCGCTCTGGCTTACTTTATCTTCCTGCTAGCTTCGTTCTATCTACCTGTCTTATATTTCCTTCTCTTGGAGCTTTTCCCGCTGTCGTTGCTAGGTCTTTCACATATTTTCATTTATCAACTCTAATGTTCCCCTTCACTCGACCTATGTCTTAGTTTTCTCTGCTCTTGTGTGTAGTTAGGTGCAGGTCACTCGGCTGTAATTCACACAATTATCGTAATTAATGATTTAAGATGTTGAGGGACATCGTTCAAAATTGGTCACAATGGTGCAGGTGCATCCATTCTCTATCTTCCATTAGATCTTGAAGTTTAAGACACCTTTTACCTTCTCATTTCAAAAATTCATCTTTTTTTCCTCTCAAGTTATCTGTAAGCTTGTTACCACTTATATTACTACTACTACTCTAGTCTCCATCTCGATCATTTTATCTCATTGTTTTATTTAACGACTTGAATTGATCCATATTTATGTTAAATTCTAGGTTGCCTATGACTAACTTCTGGACCCCCACCAACGAAATTCACCACTCACATTTTATCCTTCTTGATAAAAGCTGTTATCTGAAAAAAAAGTACTGTGTTTCAATACTGATCCTCTGCTCTTATGTAATTTGACTTTAATGTTAATCACTTAAAATGTCAGAATATTATACACAAGTCTATTACTTACCTATTTACTTACGCCTGTTACTCTCAATGGACCACAGGCCGTCGACCACCATTCTTCAACCCACTCCTTATAAATATCACTTTGTTTAGCACGGATGATATAAGGATCAAAGTGTTTCATTTGTTGTTATATTTAAGATAATCTGTGTACAATATAAATTTGATAATAATTACCTTAATGGTCATTTGTATTATTAGTACATTACATTATATTAATTGCTATAATTGACTTCTTCATTTTATTGGTATATTTAGACAATACTACTTATACGTCATTGATCCACATATCAAACGTGTTGGATCTCAACTATGGCTTTTTATGTAAGTTGTTGTAAATACCTTTTTTCTTGTCATCATTGATTATTTATGTCTTAAGGTATTCACAACTGTTTACTATTGAGTTCAATATAATTCAATCCGTCATTCTGAATGAAGAACACAGAACGTGTTTTTTCTTTAATGGATCTGCCAGGGAGCACCAGTTCCCTCAAGATTACAGGGATACCTTGCTGACGAGTGACAAGTAGCACGGAACCCGGGTCCAGGGTTTCCTGTCGACTACCTCCAACCACCATCTAATCTCAATATATAGTGCACGCAGTGTAGAGTCACCTAGACTGATGGCCACATTGCAACATGGTCGATAGCATTCGATCTGCACTAAATAAGGACTTGGCATACATGACATTGATCACCACCCAGTGACCAATCAATTGTGATTACAATATTATTTCTTTCTCACCCTACATTATCTATATTTTTCTAGGTAATTTCCATAGGCATAAAGAGTTCATATATATTGGCGCTCTCTTGTACCAATATTCATGTGTTCAAATAAATAAATAAATAAATAATATTTTTCTAACAATTTTCCATGCTATTCTTATCTCAACAATGCCAATTCACAAAAAATCGTATAGGTTGATGAGCTGCATAACTTTTAAATGATGTACTCGCAAGTACAGGGTTGTAATGATATTTGAATTCCGTTGAAATGCCGAATCGATCTAAGCTAGATCACCATTAGAAACCTGGAAGCACTGGTCGCCATACTTTGAAACTCCCAATCAAAACACATCTACGATCCCACATTCACAAATTGAACCAACGACCTCCTATCACACGTGCGAACAAATAACTTTTAGACTATCGAATCGGTATCCAATAGTGTTAATATCTAGCTTCAATGCAATTTAACAATTCCCATAAACCCATACTGAAAATTATCATTTGCACACTAGTGACTGATTTCGAGAAGTAATTCTCAGAGTTGTATTGAGAAGCTGAAACTAGTGGAGTTGAACCGAGTCATATGTAAGATCTATCCATGGAAAATAATGAAATATGGATGCACAATGTCGGGTATTGTTTGAAATTAGATATTAACAGCGTTGGATATCGGTCCAATCGTCTATAGGTTGACCATTCGTGCGCGAGACCGAAGATCCTGGTTTCGATTACCGCAAGGTGGATTTCAGATGCACTTGGCCCAAGTTCAAGAGAATTGGTTGAGGCCGATCAGATACAGCCTTGATTGTCTGGCTTTAAGCACTTTAGTTCTGTATCTGAAAGATATTACTGCCGGACACGAAAACCGTTGATCCAAACTGATTTATGTTATATTTCAGGATCAACTTATTTTATTCTCGTCCTTACATTATAAGGGAGGTATCTTCGGCACACTTGCTGATTGTTCTTGAGAAACACCTTACTGCTGTCATACTCTTACACAGTCAACCCTATGACTTCACCCTTGAACCTAAAGTTTGCTAGTTTTACTTTTATCATTCCCTAACCCAACCTAAACTATTGAATGTTTTGGCGAACATAACTCGACTGAGTCATCATTATTTACAAGCTTGTCCACTACATCAAGGTATCAGTACTGTCAAATTCAATCCCTTATTCTACCATGATGTTAGAACCCCCCCTAATGTTTATAAATCACTCGGGTCAATTATTGTCTTATTCTTCACCTTTTCTACCCATAACTTGTATAATTTCTTTCTGTTTTTTTCCGTATTATGCTTTAGACAATTAAGTAACTTAGATAATTGATTACATCATAAAGAGTCCAAAGATTCCAAACATCAAAAGAGAATTACATAGTGACCCTGCAATTCTACTCTAACCTCTCGGTCATTACATAATCTTCTTTTGATATTTGAAATTTTGATTCACTAATAAATGTCATTTATTTCTATTCTTCCATAGACTCGTTTCTTTTATCTACCATCTTTGTATAGAATTTTAATCCACTATATGCTGGTTAATATGAATTGAATTGAGAAGGGCAAGGCATTATATGGAGTCAGTCCAAGGAAAAAATGAGAGTACGACTAATATATCATTGACCAATAATGAGATTTGTAAAAAAAACTGAGTAAAATTTAAGTGGTAACAGTCATGCTTATGAAAAAAAGACAATAACTTTCATCTATTAGTAATTGTAGGAAAGTAAGTCACCATAGGAAAGGCATTAGACATATAAATAAAATATGAAAGTTTTAGTGGCTCAGTTTGTGTCTGCATTGAACACATTATATCTATGCTTATATAGATTCGGAAAAAACTCTCATATACAGATCAACATTTGTTGAGTAGTGAACAACCAGTATCATTCTTCCTTAGTCCCTTCAATTGCCGATCCAATGCTACCAATCAAGTTCAGATGTGACCACTAGTCTAGGTGGCTTGACATCACATACACTACGTTTATATGTTAGGCAACTGAAGGTAGTCTACAGGAAACCACACTCGACCTAGGTGTCATGTCATTTGGCACCCACTAGCAAGGTGTACCAGTAATCTGTGGAGAACTGGTGCCTCCTAAACCAGGTCAACATGGCATTTATCACTAATCACTAACCAACAAATCGTAAACGTTCCTCATTTTTACAGAACGTTTCTCACAGTCTAATCGGATCAGTGGTAACCTATCAGACCATGAAGTTGGATGACCTGTGTTCGAACTTATCATAGGTAGAATACTCCCTAAACATTGTAGGTCCACTTGGTAATGAGTACCAAATAACAGGAAAGCTTAGATCCATTGTTTCCTGTCGACTATCTCTGACCATCTAAGAATTTGTTCATTCCTCTCATGATAGTACAATGCCACATTTTTAGTATATTTCTTCTAACATGTGAATCAATATTATTGATGTTTGACTCTCATGTACTTTAAAATATCTAGTTGTGTTACGAGAAACTTATTACTGAATCCAACTTATTATTATTATTATTATCATTACAGTGCAATAATTCTTACTGAGTTATTAGTTTGCTTAAAATTGGGTAGTGAAATATTTGAAAATACGGTCTTCTGGAATCTCATTTACTGGGGTATATGGATGGTAAGTTGTAGAACTTTTGTCGAAAAATAAACTATCTAATTGTTTCTCATTTTGTTATTGTTGTTGAGTAAGCTGAATAGATACTTCTTGAGACATTAGAAGAAAGTATGCAAGATTGGTTCAGAGTAGATTTACTTCTCTTTCCAATGAATTCGCTTTCAAACTAGTACAATCACAAATATATATTCACTTTTCAAAATTATAATCTGTTTGGTAGGCCGACTCGTGAAGACAATACAAAGCCCAGCTTATCCTATGAACATCGAATTTAAAGGAGATACACCTGTGAAATTCTCGAATAAAAGAGTTTCGAAATCCCTGAGGAAAGCTTTCTACTCGGCTGATCTTCGTATCGTCTTGTTAAGTGTTAAGGAGAAACTTCCACGTTTTATCCCTTAACCAACTTATTTCTATTTTCCTACTCTTTCTGATCACAATTCATCTCAACTTCAACATGTCGTCTCATCACGTCGTGCAATCTCCCTTCCACAACCATTAATCGTTATGTATCCTCATGATGAATATTCGAGTTCACAGCAACTAAATTGTCATGAAGTGAATAAAATTTTTGTGTTTTTCTTTACTCTACATCACGGTTACCATGTTTGGTAAATCTATCATTCCATTGAAATCATGAACCATGCTAGGTTAGACCAGTATTGAAAACCTAGAAACACAGGACGACCATAAGATGGTCGTACAAAATCGTGGATTAATTGAAGTTAGGCATTGGAACTTTTGAATGGGGACTCAATAATCTCGAGGCTAAGTATTTGTGAGTGAGTGAGTGAGTGAGTAAGTGAGTGAGTGAGTGAGTGAGTGAGTGAGTGAGTGAGTGAGTGAGTGAGTGAGTGAGTGAGTGAGTGAGTGAGTGAGTGAGTGAGTGAGTGAGTGAGTGAGTGAGTGAGTGAGTGAGTGAGTGAGTGAGTGAGTGAGTGAGTGAGTGAGTGAGTGAGTGAGTGAGTGAGTGAGTGAGTGAGTGAGTGAGTGAGTGAGTGAGTGAGTGAGTGAGTGAGTGAGTGAGTGAGTGAGTGAGTGAGTGAGTGAGTGAGTGAGTGAGTGAGTGAGTGAGTGAGTGAGTGAGTGAGTGAGTGAGTGAGTGAGTGAGTGAGTGAGTGAGTGAGTGAGTGAGTGAGTGAGTGAGTGAGTGAGTGAGTGAGTGAGTGAGTGAGTGAGTGAGTGAGTGAGTGAGTGAGTGAGTGAGTGAGTGAGTGAGTGAGTGAGTGAGTGAGTGAGTGAGTGAGTGAGTGAGTGAGTGAGTGAGTGAGTGAGTGAGTGAGTGAGTGAGTGAGTGAGTGAGTGAGTGAGTGAGTGAGTGAGTGAGTGAGTGAGTGAGTGAGTGAGTGAGTGAGTGAAAGCGAAGTCCTGAGTTCCATTCTCGCATATGTGGTTGTAGATGAGCAAGCTGAAGAATCACATACTCGGACAAACAAACCTCTCTGGTACCTCCAGAATTTCAATGGTTATCTAACTTAGTTCAGTTTGTGTTCTCTTATTGATCGAAAGATAATCGACTAATATTTATCTACGATTGTATATCTTTAAAAAAACTATTCACCGAAAAGCGAACTATCTCTTCGCGAAACCAATCTTTCTTGTTTTCCTGTTTTAGGGAAACGTAACCGGTTACTTTTTCTCTCAAAATTCAACAGTTTTTGTTAGCTGTAATTACTTGTAACTGTATAACCAGGTACCAATTGTTGCTGTGAGATCTAGTCTTTAAAAATAGAAGCCATATGAAGGCTCCAGATAACCCGTAGATTTTTTGTGTATTTGATACTCATTATTACCAATTACCTGCCTAGATCATCAAAATAAATGAAGCAGTGTTTTGTATCTTTGAATACATTCGATTTAATTATTAAACCACTGGTAACTTAAACCTCATCCCGTTTTTTTATTTTTTGCAAACTTTAATTTCACAGAGCAAAGTTTACCTAAAAGCTAGGTAATTTTACCGTTTCTTCGCAGTACCCATTTCATTAACATAAGTTGCATCCTGTGATTGGATGTTGAAATCTGATTGGGCGATTTCATAGTCGCTTCGATGATAACTCACGGTCGTCGACACAGTATTACGCCTTTGCACCTAATATTAATGTAAACTTATCCATTTACTAAATGAATTATAGCTAAACTTTGATATAGGGATAAGTGAATCAAAATCGAAATGGCTTCAAGAGATTTTTGTGTGTTCAGAATGTAAAATTCCATGAGATTTATCTTACATCGCTCTATAATACTCAAATTGGCTAAAATTATTAATAGAACTTATTTTTTATGTTTATAGATTACACTTGACATTGTAAAACACGTCAAATTCTATGGCATCACAGAAGTATATGTTGTTTCGCGTCTCCGGGATATACAGTAGGATAACACTATAACTCGATATGAATTGGATCACGTTATATACTCATTCTAGACACGATACACAACCAACGAATATGACACAGATGACTAGTTAGACAATAGTTTATTTAACATGAGTACTGGCAGTTCACACATATAGAGTGGATTCCACAGTGAAAGCCAAAGTTGAAATCAATCGTAGAAAAAAATCACAATATTGAATAGTATCATGATATTGAACAAAGCTTTGTATCTGTTTCTCTTTTTTGGGTTTGAGAGAACTAATAAAACTGCACGGTTGCTTGACAAAAGTTGGTGGAGCGGCATTTGAACCTGGGGCTCAGTGGCTGAAGGTCGAACTCCCTAATCTTTAAACCACTGCAATAGCTTAGTGTTTGAGGCGTTCAACTTTTTTCAGCCCTATCATATCACCAGCATTACATAAACCAACATTCTTAGTTCAGCTTTATGAATACAAACCTATACTTGGTAAATAATTTCAACTAAAATAGTTCGCAGTGGATAGATCTCACAATAATCTTTTAACAATCTAGTGCTCGTCGCGAATCTTGAAACTTTTGAGTTCAATCTTTTCATCTGCATTGTAATTCGAAGCTAAGTATATGAATTTTTATCTGATGAGTGGGTGATAATTAGTAACTATCATTAGATACAGTCTATGTAGATAACGCTTTCTAAATCGTAAGCACCAGTGGCCTTTTTGTTAAAACACTAATTTCAACCACCGAGCTGTGAATGCTAACTACACCCCATGTGCTTAAGTTTCAGTAACCGTGTAGTATCACTCAACTCTTACACATACACATAAAGTGTACTTCAAAGCCATTATTAACTCAGTAAAATCAAACCTCTTATAATTTTAGATACCCCTTGGTAAGAAATACCACCTAGTGTGAAACCGGGATTATATAGAGATAGATATAATTATTTGATTCACTCATTAAACACAAATTCTTACAATTTCAACATTTATTCAAATTCATTTTCATAAATAGTTCTTTAAGTGTTCCATAGCGGACAGAATCAGAGATAACTGTAATGACATGCTTGATATTGTGTACACCAGCACTGGTCTGTTACAGTCCACCCCCCAACTACTCTAGAAAACAAATTTTATTAAAATAGATTATTTACAAGTGATCAATGTAGATTAAATTTACATTCAGTTGTACATCAATTAATTTCGTTTAAACACACAATAACAATGAATTAATGAATACAATGAAATGTTTTTGATTGAGATCATGAACCGATTGATGTTAGACCACCATTGAAAACCTGGAAGCATTGGAAGGCCGTTTCGTCCTATTGTAGGACTCCTCAGCAGTGCGCATCCACGATCCTGATCGCAGGTTTTGAACCCATGGGCTTCATTCTCGCGCGCGAACTCTTGACCTATTGCACCACTGAATCGGCACCCAATGGTGTTAATGTGTAACTCCAACCAATCCACGAAATTTTGTGACGATCTTCCATTGTACTGAGGTAGATATCTGTCTCTACCTGACACGGATCAGCTCCTTTGATTACGGCTTCTCACTAGAACTCCGAGAATTCCCTCACGTTGCTAGTCACTAGTAAGCACATGGTAATTATCATTATAGAATTGTATAGATTATTAAGTTTTTGATCGAGATCATGAACCGACTGATGTTAGACCAACATGGGAAATCTGGAAGCACTGGACGACCTTTTCGTCTTATTGTGAATGAATCTGCTTGACAGGATGTCCTAAGCTTTAGATTTTATACACATTCGTTTAAACCGTATTATCTGATATCAGTATCGCTTAAATTTGGTTTATTCCAATAAGAACAAGTTGCATAATGGAGAGCTTCAGAAAGGCATAGATCATTAAAAAAACTAGGTGTTCTACTGATATCACCAACCGATCAAAGTTAAACAACTACTGATAACGTGGAAGAATTGGACAGGTGGTCCGTCCTAGTATAAGACTCTTCATCGGTGCACATCCAAGACCCGCACTCAGGAATTAAACCCAAGGCCTTGTCTTCGCGCGTCAACGCTTAACCTCTGGACTATTGAGTTAGGGTCTAATAGAACTCAGTAATTCCCATAACCGTATACTGAATTCGGTATTGACCATAGTTACAATTGTCGGGAAAAAATAATAATAAATAATTTCCAATTAATTAATGTTAGTAAAATTGTGATTGTACGTGTTCTTTTTTACACTAAATTATCTGAGTACACTTCCAAATTAGTGTAGTGGTAGTGTTGAGTTCTCCTAATTAGACAATTTAACTGGGGAACTTTCATTGTCATTCTAACTGTATCATAATTATCATATTGATCTTTATAGGTTTTGTCCTCTTAATTTACCTTTACAGTCATGTTGACCATTTTCGTTGATTGACCTCTTAGTTTATGATCAATTAACCTTTACTTTATATATATTCATAGATTGGGTCAATGTTGGCATGTTCATTGATCGCTAATTGATCTAAATGTCATGACCCTAGAAATTCTTTGAGACCCAAGTGATACTATTTATATATATTTATATTGAAAGGTAATGAGCTACACTGTAGATAAATATTCTCTTTATGCTACATCGGAATGAAATTAGATTACATAAGCGAAAAGGTCATAGGGGTGTTGATGTTTTTTAATAATCAAATGGCTAAATTATCAATAACAACAACAACAACAACATAAAGTGGATATTTAGAAATGTACAAACTATCATACAATGAAGTGTAGATTGTGCACAATCGTGCGAAATATGAAATTCACACAGTTTGTACCACCAGGAATCTAACCACATGTAAAAAGAATAACTAAACTGGTTAATGAAAATGATTTTGAAAATAGACCAATGCTTGACTTTATAAACTATGAGATTAAAATGGCTTCATATCTCTCTTTCTACTAACTGATTCTTTGTTCCTATACTCTATCCTTATATGCAATCTTTCTTTTATCTATTACCACCACTACTTCTATGAATCCGATGTTCATCTTGTTTTGCTAATGAGGTATAGCAACTTGAACTGATGCATATATATGCCTGGTCCTACGTTGTAGATGACTGACGGCTGACGTTTTACGTGAAAAAGCACACACTTTGAAAATGTAAATAACATTGATGGAGTTTTGTTCTCTGAGCTGGATGACTTGGTCGTGGAACTTTCATCGTTCTTCTGAACGACATCAAAAATCATCCACCTGAGCTAAAAAATCTTCCCCATTTCAACATTCAAATATATATTATTACATTCAAGTTGTCTTCGTCACAGTTGTCCCCTTCACTCATTTTTACTTTGTTATAGAAATACTTTGGAAGATGACTTTCTCGTCGTCTAACTTTCCAGGAATCGATCTCCCGAAAGGAGATTCACTACTTGGCCTAGAATATACAAAAAACATAGCCTTATTTAATGAAAACACTGAAAAAAATTAGAATCTTCATACTGATTTAAGCAATAACATGTTTAGGATGCGAATTTCTCCCTACAAATGCAAAAGGTTGGCTTTGGATTGGCTTGCTTCAAGGCCTAATATAAGGATAAAAATTTAAATAGTTGACTATGACAATCACTTCACTTATATGAAGATTCTCATCAACCCTAGAAGGCGAACATAAATTCAGAAAGCATAGTTGGTATCTACCAATTCCCATCAATTGTGTCATAAGTAAGATATTAATTTGCTAACTAATTGAGGAATTTGCTGCTCAACAGCAGTTCATTTTCTTCTACTTTATAGCTATAAAACGTGATCATTAATAATAGAGGATATTCATAGTCTACACTCCGTTTGTCTTGACATTATTATTAAATCGCACTTTCAATAATGAATTGTGATTTAATATGTTTAGTAAACCAATGAATTAGTGATTTTAATTTATTTCATCCTTAAATCACACTTTACGTTGCGATCTTATTGGAAGATGCCTTCAAATTCATGGATATTTATCTGTTTTTCATTAATTCGTCAATTTTATTATCCATGCAAGGTATTCAGTTCCTTTTTAACTGTATGGATTGGTCGATATTTGGCGAATGGTCATTCGTCTAAACGGTTGCCATCGTTGTCACCAGATAGTCAAGAGAATATCAATCAATCATCGTGTATGAATTCGAAGGAGAATTCTAAAGTAAGTAGTTTTGTTGAAGTCTATCATTTAATTGAATATCCTTATATGCCATATTGATTACTGTATGTATAATAAATTTGTTATAAATATTAACATAATCTAATGGTTAGGCTCGTTTATTGCGGCGAACAAAATGGCTGCAGAATCAGATGAATTCCAATGGTGAAATAACATCACAGGATAGACAGACATCATCATCCATTGCGAAACATTTGATTGAGACGGGTCATAAGGTTGATATCAAATCAGCATTTGTTGTGTTGTACAAAAGCCTTCAAGGACGTATACTAAGGTTTATTGAAGCCTTGGCTATACGAAAATTGAAACCCCCTTTATGTGTTCAAAAACAATTTGTGCTTACACTTAACCTACCCTGATAGTACTGATTTACTATCCAGAGTGGTAATCACATTTGTATTTGTGTACTTTAATATTTTTCCTTTGTTATGACTTACCCTTAACCTGTCTAGTTGACCTTTTAATTTTTCATATATAAACGTTCTTAATAAGTATATGTGTGATCAGATTGTTCGAAATGTATGGCGCAAATATATCACATAATTCTGATAAACTACGTCTTCTCATTGCATTATCGAAATTTATCAAAGGGACTAATTAATAAGAACTTTCGTCTAAATTTGAACGAATAGTTTCACAATATTTGGGCGCCGAGTTAATTTGAGACATTAAAAAGAATAATATATTTGTAAAATCTCAGCGAATGAAATTCATTCGCTTTTACATTCGATTTTACAAATATATTATTCTTTTTAAAGGGACTAATTGTTTTAAATTTTTATTTATTTATTTAATATCCAACGGTGTCTAACTTCAACTAATCCACGAAATTGAGCGACACATTCACCATTGTCTTCAGTGAGTTACTATCTCACAACAGACCTGGTTGAACTCCACTGGTCACTACTTCTCACTAGAACTCCAGGATATACCTCGTGAAACCAGTCACTAGTGAGCATATGTTGATTAATATCAGATGGGTTTTTTGTGGAGATTGTAGTAATTTCAATGGTTAATATCATGAGTCAGTTGAAGCTAGACCACCATGGAAAACCTGGAAGCACTGGACGGCCGTTTCGTCCTATTGTGGGTTAGACATTAACACCGTTGGATGCCGGCTCAGTGGTCTAGTGGTTAAGTGCTCGCGCGCGAAACCAGTAGGTTCTGGGTTCGAATCTCTCAGGGGGCGAGGTCGTGGATGCGCACTGCTGAGGAGTCCCACAATAGGACGAAACGGCCGTCCAGTGCTTCCAGGTTTTCCATGGTGGTCTAGCTTCAACTGACTCATGATCTTAACCATTGAAGTTTATTTATTTATTTGAACACATAAATATTGGTACAAGAAAGCGCCAATATATATGCGCCACACAAAACAATGAGAATTCGAAGAGAGAGAAAAAAAGGTAAGGAGCGTGAAAAAAAAGAACAATGACGAAGAGGTTGGTGTAAGGTATAGTAATTATAATAGTAATAATGAGGGAACGGAAAGGTACGATCAGAAGAAATCTTTTAGTTAAGGAAGACACAACCACTTTTTATGAAGAAAGTAAAAGAAGGTTACAGCAGGATCGCCACTTGCTTCTATTCTGAGCCATATCTGATAACGTCTCTAGCCACTGTATTGCACCATCTCTCGGACCCCAACCAGGGAGTCGTGAAGGACCGACACAAGCCAGTCCTTTGCAGCTTTCTTTCATGCCACGACACCATGTCATGCACTGACCACCTCTCCGCTTCTTCCAACCAGTCCCAGAGTCGGCAAATAATGCACGACGTGGAATTCTCTAAGACATTCGTAGAACATATCCACGCCACCGAAGTCGGTGTTTCAAGATGGTGACACCAATTGAATTATCATCTCTGTGCCCGAACACACGATGCCGAACCTCTGCATTACTGACATGGTGTTGCCACTGAATGTCAGCAATCCTTCGGAGACAGCGATGATCGAACACAGAGAGTCGTCTAACATCCTCAACTCGGAGAGACCAGGTTTCACAAGCATAGAGCAAAACTGCTCTCACCGACGCGTTGTAGATCCGACCTTTTACAGCCACACTAACATCACGAAGGCGCCAAAGGTGGCCCAGATTGGCATAAGTCGCTCTGGCTTTCACTATTCGTGCATTGATCTCATCACTCACACCTCCACCAGCACTTATGCAGCTACCCAGATACACGAACTTCTCGACTACGTCTATCTGCTCACCATCCAGGGTGAGTACAGGATTGGAATCCTGCCAGTCTTGTAGAAGTACTTTGCACTTCGAAGGTCCAAAGCACATACCATACCTACAGACACTGATTGCCAACTGATTAAGTGCGGATTGCATGCCTTGGGCATTATCGCACAGTAAGACAATATCGTCCGCATACTCAAGGTCGAGAAGTCTTTCTCCAGGCAACAGATCCACACCACCATTACTTACATTCATCAGAGCTGTTTCCAGAATGTCATCGATGGCAAAGTTGAAGAGGAATGGTGAGATTGGGCAACCCTGCCTAACCCCACTGCTCGAATGGAACAATGGAGAAAGGTGGTTGTATGCCCTCACTCTGCCTGAGGTGTTTGTATATAGGGCTTTTAGGATGTTAATAAACTTCTCAGGCACACCCATCTTCAATAGACAATCCCAGAGAACAGTTCTATCCAACGAATCGAAGGCAGCTCTGATGTCAAGAAACACTACGATTGTTGGCCTTTGAAAATTATGGCGGTGTTCTAACATTTGGCGGAGGGTGAAGATATGATCAATACATCCTCGACTGAAACAAAAAGCAGCCTGCTCCTCGCGATTCAATCTTTGTCGGGTTTTGAACAACCTACGAAGTATGACGGGAGCCAATAGCTTGAACACAATCGGAAGTAGACTTATTCCTTGATAGTTGTTACAAGAACGACGTGAACCCTTTCTAAAGATAGGGACAACTATCGACTCATTCCATGACGTTGGTACACTCTCTAGTTCCCAAACCTTTGTAAACAAAGTCGTCAATTCTTTAGGCAGAAAGTCACTACCATCTTTAAAAAGAGCCGGAGGTAAGTCATCTGGGCCAGGTAATTTGTAATGCTTCAAGAGTTGGAGTTCCTTGCGGACTTCCACCTCATTTGGTGGATCAGTCGTCACCGGCCATGGAGGGCAGGACAGTCTGACCGTTGTTGCCGGAGCAGCAGGCCAGTTGAACTGCCCTTCGAAAAATTCTGCCCATCGTCCAAGACGTCGATAGATGTTAGTAATTGGCATCCCATCATCCTCGCAGATTTTTTCGCTCACACCAGACTTCTTGCTGCCAGTGGCTCAGATGAGTCGGATGAGCTTCCGGTAATTACCAGATGCAGCTGCTGCTTCCAGCTCATCTGCACGCTCCGACCACCAGGCTTCTCTGTCCTTACGCAAGCTTTGCCCAATTTCATTACGTAACAACCTTCGTTTGTGGTCAAACTCACGGTGATCCGGAGTAGACCGACGGGCTTCAATCAGTAGTAAGGAACCTGAAGAAACCCAGTGCTTATAAGAGGGACGTTTCGCGAACCGACTACTGACTGTACCCGCCAATTTCATGGCGTCATGCAATTGCAACCAATGCTCATCTATACTTTTCGGTGGAATGGTAGCTAGCAAGAAACTAGCTCGGTTCGATACTTACTAGCAACAGAAGTTGCAACCAGCTTGCTAACATCAATCCGTTGGTGGCGGTCACTTCGTTGTCCACTGAAAAGTAAGGTAAGATTGGCGCAGACCAAGGTATGGTCAGAGTCCAGATAGGTACTCCAAGAGGAGCGGCAGTCTCGTACACAACCACGCTAGCGGTAGCTGATTGCGATGTGATCAATCTGAGTCCAGGCTTGGGATGCAGAGGGAGGACGCCAGGTGGCACATCGTCGATGACTGTGCCGAAAGTTAGTGCTAGCCAGAAACAGGTTATGGTCTGTGCACAGTTGCAGTAGACGGTCCCCGTTATCTGACCTGCGACCAACGAGTCCCCATCGGCCACCTAAACGACTCTCTTCTGTGCCTAGACGCCCGACCTGAGCATTCAAGTCTCCGGCTAGTACTACAATATCTGTCGAACGCACTTTCTGGAGAAGAACAGATAATTGATGGTAAAACTCATCCTTGATTGCATCCGGGCTGCAATCTGTCGGAGCATAGGCGGAGATGACGAAAGACATCGTTTCTCACGCCGATTTCTTGTCACTTTGATGGAACTCTCTAATCTAACAGCACATAACCGACTGTTAATGGGGATCCAATCGATTAGTGCTGCCTCAGCTCTATCGCTTAGTGCGACACCAACGCCAGCAAGACCAGACAAAGATGCCACAGAGTCCCCGGATAAGCGCACGTAAAACAAGCTTTTCGAAGCGACAGATGAAGAGTGAATTTGTAGTACTTCACCAGAGTCTTGAATACAGGTCTCGGATAGACAACAGACATCGATGTTAAGACTTTCTAAAGACATAGCCAGCCCTATCTGTTGTCCGACCTGCATAAATGTGCGAACGTTGAAGACAGCCAGTTTGAATGGTGCATGTGGTTTCAGAAAAACTGCTTCAGTCCTCGTATTCGGTGGTAACATACAATTTTCAACCTGACAGTGACTCGAGAACGTTTAGATAGAGTCGAATTTCCACCAAAGACGAGCTGCTGTATAAGTATAAAAGAGGGTGAATAATGTAGTAAATAATAATAGTAATAATAATCATTTGAATCATTTGATTGTTATTCGAAGCGAGAAAAGTAGTTTCCATAGATATATAGTTCATCGTTTGCGCGTGGGCTGCGATACTGCCCGGGTGCCCAGATCGAAGCAGGTGGTTATCTTAGGGGGCCACACCCCGAGCCTTTGACCTAAAGGTCTAACCCACAAGGCAGTGGAGCATCGTAAGGAGATGCAATCCCATGGTAGCCGGTGACCAACGATTGGTTCATACGCCATTTGTTCCCGCAGGATACTGGAGACCATGTGCACCATTGGTTTGGAATCCGGTTAAAGCGCCGGACATTCGCTTTTCGTCCTCTCATTTCCGTAAACGACACCCTCGCCACGAGAAGGCAGTGAGTAGGACTTCCCCAGCAGAGGCTATATACGCGTGAACATGTGAGAGCATTTCGAGAGGGAGAGCGGACTCTCCCCACTCTCGGCCGTACCAGGTTATTTGGGGCGGCGAACAAAACAAGTTCCTTGAATTCCTACCATGCTAGAGAGTTTGTCTGGGGTGATTAGTCAGTCAAGCGCAACGTAGCATCTGGTACATGTATACCTCATCAACACAGCGAGATGAAATTGTTAGGGTAAATCCCAGAGTATTGAAGGTAGTAGCATAAAAGATTCGGCATCGAAGATACGATTGGAGAAGAAAATATAAATTAAAGAAATGAGAAAAACTTTTAACGAATTGAGAAGCTTGGAATGTGGGGGAGGAAGACAAATAGTGGATGCACTCGAGTCATTAAGGACGATTCCTAATCTTGTCGCTCAATATCTCTAACCATTGGTTACGATAAGCACACTGATCCACACTAGGTAGTCTGCAACTATTACTTACTTACTTACTTACTTACGCCTGTTACTCCTCGTGAAGGAGCATAGGCCGCTCACCAGCATTCTCCATCCAACCCTGTCCTGGGCAATCCTTTCCAGCTCCTTCCAGTCGTAATTCATCCTTTTCATATCTGCTTCTATTATCCGACGTAATGTGTTCTTTGGCCTTCCTCTTTTCCGCTTCCCTTCAGGATTCCAAGTTAGGGCTTGTCTCGTGATACAGTTTGACGATTTGCGTAATGTATGTCCTATCCATTTCCATCGTCTTCTCCTAATTTCCTCTTCAGCTGGAAGTTGGTTTGTTCTCTCCCACAGAAGGCTATTGCTGATGGTATCTGGCCAATGGATGTTGAGTATCTTGCGTAGACAGCTATTTATAAATACTTGTACTTTCTTGATTGTGGTTGTTGTAGTTCTCCAAGTTTCAGCTCCATACAGTAGAACTGCCTTGACGTTCGTATTGAAGATTCTCACTTTGATATTGGTTGAAAGTTGTTTTGAATTCCATATGTTCTTCAATTGTAGGAATGCGGCCCTTGCTTTGCCAATCCTCGCCTTTACGTCTGCATCTGAACCTCCTTGTCCATCGACGATGCTTCCCAGGTATGTGAAGGATTCTACATCTTCCAGAGTTTCGCCATCAAGAGTGATTGGATTGCTGTTTTCCGCTTTGAATTTGAGGACCTTAGTTTTCCCTTTGTGTATACTGAGGCCTACTGATGCAGAGACTGCTGCTACACTGGCTGTCTTCATCTGCATCTGTTCGTGTGTACGTGATATAAGAGCTAGGTCATCTGCGAAGTCCAGATCGTCTAATTGGTTCTGAGCTGTCCATTGTATTCCGTGTTTTCCTTCAGATGTCGAGGTCTTCATAATCCAGTCGACCACCAGAAGAAAGAGAAAGGGAGAGAGTAAACAGCCTTGTCTGACCCCGGTCCTTACTTGGAATGCATCTGTCAGCTGTCCTCCATGCACGACCTTGCACTGTAGTCCGTCGTATGAGTTCCGGATAATATTGACAATCTTCTCAGGAATTCCGTAGTGTCGAAGAAGTTTCCATAATGTCCTCCTATCTACACTGTCAAATGCCTTTTCATAATCAATGAAGTTGATGTATAGTGACGAGTTCCACTCAACCGATTGTTCGACGATGATCCGTAGTGTTGCAATTTGGTCTGTGCACGACCGATCCTTACGGAATCCAGCTTGTTGATCTCGAAGTTGAGCGTCTACTGCATCCTTCATCCGGTTCAGCAAAACTCTGTTGAAGACCTTCCCTGGTATTGACAGTAGTGTTATGCCTCTGTAGTTTTCACATTTGCTCAGATCTCCTTTCTTTGGAATCTTGATGAGGTGTCCTTCTTTCCAGTCCATCGGCACTTGTTCCTCCTCCCAAATCTTTTTGAATAGAGGGTAAAGCATGCTTGTGGTTACTTCGACGTCTGATTTCAGTGCTTCAGCTGGTATGTTGTCGGGTCCTGCTGCTTTCCCGTTCTTGATTTGTCTGACGGCCGCTCTAATTTCTTCCGTCGTTGGTGGGTTGACATCTATAGGAAGATCTGTGTGTGCTGCTTCGATGTTCGGTGGATTCATAGGAGCCGGCCTATTCAGGAGTTCCTCAAAGTATTCTACCCATCTGTTCCTCTGTTGTTGAATTTCAGTGATTGGCTTGCCTTCCTTGTCTTTGACCGGCCTCTCTGGTTTATTGTATTTCCCTGATAATTTCTTCGTTGTATCGTAAAGTTGTCTCATATTTCCTTCTCTAGCAGCTTTTTCTGCCGTCGTTGCTAATTCTTCCACGTATTTCTTCTTGTCAGCTCTAATGCTCCTCTTCACTTGCTTGTTTGCTTCTATGTATTCAGCTTGTGCTTGGACTTTCTCTGCTCGTGTTCGGCTGTTGTTTATTGCTGCCTTCTTGTTCTTCCTTTCTTTGATCTTGTCCAGTGTTTCTGTAGAGATCCATTCCTTATGATGGTATTTCTTTAGACCGAGAACCTCTTGACACGTTGAAGTTAATGCTTCCTTGATGCTTTTCCAGTTGTCCTCCATAGTAGTTTCTTCTTCTTTCAGTAGATCTTGTAAGGCTTGGAACCTGTTGTTGAGAGCTATCTTGAATTCATTGAGTTTGACAGTATCTCGAAGGAAGGCTGTATTGAACCTTTGTATTGCTGTTTGTCCACTTGTCCAGTTCTTTTTTAGCTTCAGTTTCAAATTGGCTACAACTAGGTGGTGATCTGAAGCTACGTCAGCTCCTCTCCTGGTTCTCACATCTTCCATTGTCCTTCGGAATTTTTTGTTGATGCAAATATGGTCTATCTGGTTCTCTGTAGTGTGGTCCGGTGAGATCCATGTAGCCTTGTGTATACGCTTGTGTGGAAATATTGTGCCTCCTATGACTAATTTGTTGAATGCACACAAATTTGCAAATCTTTCTCCATTTTCGTTCCTCTCTCCCAGTCCATGTTGCCCCATAATATCTTCATATCCGATGTTGTCTATTCCAACTTTGGCATTTAGATCTCCCATTAGGATGGTGATGTCCTTTCTTGGGCATTTCTCAATGACTGACTGCAGCCGCTCGTAGAACTGATCTTTAATGTCGTCGTTGCTATCATTGGTGGGTGCATAACATTGGATAATATTCATTAAGATCCCCTCCTTCTTTGTTTTGAATGATGCTTTGATGATTCTGGATCCGTGGGATTCCCATCCTACAAGTGCATTTCGTGCTACTTTGGACAGCATTAGAGCAACTCCCTGAGTGTGTGGAGCATTTTCCTCTTCGTGACCGGAGTATAGCAGCATCTCTCCCGTAGCTAGTCTTTTCTGTCCAGCTTGGGTCCAGTGAGTTTCGCTGATCCCCAGTACTGCTAAGTTGTATCTCCTCATTTCCATTGCTATTTGACTGGTCTTCCCGGTTTCCCACATTGTTCGGACGTTCCATGTACCTATAAAAATTTTTGCTCTGGTTGTTAGAAGGGGCATCGGCCTCGTGGCTTCCGAAGGAACTCGGCTTTCACCATGAAGCGTCATAATTCTTCTAAATGAAGACCTTCTAACTCTCAGGGCAGAGTTAAAATGGTTTGAATTATTTTTTCTGGTAAGCGTTTTTTTAGCGAGTTAGTTTTCTACGGGATGGGGACGCTAACCCCATGCCCAACCCTCCTCCTTTACCCGGGCTTGGGACCGGCAGTAACTCTAGAAGAGCTACAGGCGGAGTTAGTCTGCAACTATATATATATATATATATATATTATATATATATATATATCAGTCTAACAATCATTTTCTTTATGCACAGATGCCATGTTTTGATTTGGTCACTCCTACATCAGTCATCATCACTCGTCGAAGTAGCAGACAGATTGGGACATGTAACACATATTTCAACCATTACAGTTGATAGAGATTTATTACATCTTCAACTGACTTACCATACTTACCTAGTACTCTGCGTTTAACCTCATATAATGGCCAACTCGATGACCTCGCAATACACAAGTGATACTTCGAATGATCGAATATGAGTGTAGACCTCTATTATTAATAACCACGTTTCATAGCCATAAAGTAGAACGAAATGAACTGCTGTTGAACAGTGAATTCATCTTTTGGTTAGCAAATTAATATCTCACCTATGCCACATGTTACCGCTTTGTATTAAGACTTGAAGTGATAAGTTTACTGTTGAAGAATCATTCCATACTTTTAAATTCTTTGAGATAACATGATAATAATCTGTCCTCCGTAGATATTTAACATCACCATAAATACTCTTTCCCTATAATAGTCATGATGAGAGGGTTAGTCATGGAGATAAGAGAGGTGTTAGGAGATGTAGGAAGGATTTGAATGTGACCAACTTGGTCCCGTGTGCTGTTACGGGTATGAGGGCTGATGTCACTTCCCGGCTGCCCACACCGTGGAAGGGTATTTCTTGAGGAACCTGAAAAGGAAATTGGATTAGTGTTGGTCTTGACGACCTGGGAGCGTGACCGCAGAGCCCAAGGACAACCGCTTGAGGCCGGTCGCGCACGGCCTTTTTGTGGAAGGTTTTTGATGTGTTAGCTCCGTTCTTCAAAGGGCCTTACCGCCGGAGACGGAAATCCGTGAGGTAAGGTGAAGTGTGACAAAAATGTCGACATTTTCTAACCCCACCCCTCCTTGTGGGAAGGCAGCATCGCTGCCATGCTGGTTGTCCGAGGAAACACCTTACTGCTGTCACACCTCCCTACAGTCAGCAGTACGACTTCGCCCTCAGACCTTGAGTTGCTGCTTTTAGTCTTACCGTTCACCAATCGACCTGCCTGGCATGGTAGAACCTACAGGAAAATATGTTCCAGCCAATATAGCTCGGTTGGGTCATCACGATAGGCAAGCACGACCACCGCGTCAAGGTAGCAGCTTCTGAATTCTTCATGTCCCTTTCTTTTTTCTCTTTCCAAATTTATTTCACTGGATTATACTCTTTGAATAACATCTTCAAACCCTAATCTATCCGATTACTGCTTATACTCTTACCGCCTCTATCACTACGGGATTTGAATCGACAACTGCATCTCTGTACTAATGTGGTATGGCAACTTGAACTGATGTACGTACGTTCGAAGTTCTACGTTGTTACTGACTGACTGACATGATGAGAGGTTGACAAAGATCAAATGTTATTAGTTTTGTTACACATACGATGGTCATCTATCTTTCAGATGAAATTCAAATTCATAAACAAGATAACCGTCTTTGTTACCTTTACCAACTGAACATCAATAACAATAGTGTATGAATAGGTTTTCGTTCAATTTACGTTCATAAAAATGATATTTTCCCTACTTCCCTTTTATTTTTTTGTTTTTGAAAAATAGAATAATAATAATAACTTAGATAATAAATCACGTCAAGTGACCATATCAGATGATGTCATCACATTTGATAGATTATCACAAACAAGTACAACCCATTTATCATCGTTTTCGCCATCGATATCATCATCATCAATGACCAATATTTCTAATCATGTTAAAATCGAATGATACTACTTACTAATTATACATTAGTAGTATTAATACTAATGGGTAATCGATAATCAGTCGGTGGTACGCATGCTGAGAGGAGGGGGCGGTTGGTTGTAACCAAGATCAATTCACTATTTTATTTTCTTGAATTTTTTTTCGTGAAATTTAGTCCGTAGTGATTGTATTATTATTGTTATTATCAAATGAAATATTAAGAACACTGTCAGTAACGATCAGTCATTGTACTGTATATGTGTATGTATTTGCATTCTTATTTCGCTTCTTTCCACTCTATTTACTCAATTTCATTTGCTATCTTATATTTAATCGTCCAAATATCGCTTGATAGTGGAATAGTTATATAAAGTGTTCAACGTTTTACTAGTAGATCAGAGGTTCGAACCATACCCTGCTCTCTTTGGGGAGTGATTCGAATAGCTCCAAGTAAAAAGTAACACTAAACCACACACACACAAGTACACATTTAATTAATAGCTGAAAGTCGGGCAATCGAATGAATCTTGTCATATTTACCGAAATTTCATCAGTTTCGCTTTCCCAATCATCAGTTAGTGGCGAACACCATGCTTATCTTCAGTACTACTTTAGTCTTTGCAACAACCTGAATATATTTCTATGTATTTTTATACACATCAATTATACAACTGTCCATTTTGAAAAAAAAACAACTGGTCTGCATAATTTTAAATAGAGACATAATCAGAATGTTCAGTTACCTTTCGTCCTTCTCCTTCTCCCCCTCCTCTTCCTCTTTTTTTCGCCCTTCTCCCCGTCCTCCTCATCGTTTCCTCAGTTATTCCGACTTTTCTCTCTTTGTCAAATGTATAATTCCATTTTATTGTTTGTTTATTTTTAAAGATCTTTTTTATTCTTTTTAAAGAAATTTTATTCCTCATCGAAAAAAAAAACTTCTGATATACTCTTGTATAGTTTAATATGTTTCTTAACAATACCAACAACAATTATGTCCTATGGCTTCAATAGCAAACAGGAGTTGATTCATTTGTACAAAATTTAACTGATCAGGTGATATATTACTAAATAAAGTAATTGACAACCTTAACGAAATTGATCGTATTTATTTATTGTGGAATTGTTGTGATACATAACATAACATAATACTGAAATAAAAGATCACGAGTGGTGGTGGTGGTGGTGGTTGTGATGGTGCTTAAAGGACTGGTAGACTTTAAGGTAAATGAATCATTAAAATCATGAACTGATCTAAGTTAGAACAATATTGAAAGCTTGGAACTACTGGATGATCATTTCCACTGAGTATGGCATTAGTAGTGCTCACCGACGATACCATACAACAAAAATCAAACTCAAGACTTCAGTTTCACTCACAAACACTTAACTTATTCAACAGTTTTAATGGGTATTTATTTATTTTAACACATAGATATTGGTACAAGATGGCACCAAATACATATGCGCCACATAAATCTCATTTGATATGTGTGAGGGCTGTGATACTGACCGGTGCCCAAACCGAAGCATGTGGTTTTGTTAGCGGGTCACCCCCCCTAGCCTTCGACCTGAAGGTCTGATCCACAAGGCAGTGGGGCAACATAAGGAGATGCAGTCCCATGGCAGCCGGTGACCAACGACTGGTTCATACGCCATTTGCTCCTTTAGGATACTGGAGACCATGTTCACCACTGGTTTGGAATCAAGATTTTCCAACTCCCCTAGGTAAACTCTTCATGTCCACCAACCCGGTTAAAGCGCCGGATATTCGCTTTTCGTCCTCTCAATTTCTTAAACAACACACCCGCCACGAGAAGGCAATGAGCAGGACTTCCCTGAATGGCTATATACGCGTGGCCATGTGAGAGAATTTCGAGAGGGAGAGCGGACTCTCCCCACTCTCGGCCGTACCAGGGCATTTGGGGGCCTAATGGATAAGGCATCTGACTTCGGATCAGGAGATTTAATGCCCAACTTCAATTAATCCACGATTTTGTACGACCATCTTACGGTCGTCCTGTGTTTCTAGGTTTTCAATACTGGTCTAACCTAGCATGGTTCATGATTTCAATGGAATGATAGATTTACCAAACATGGTAACCGTGATGTAGAGAAAAGAAAAACACAAAAATTTTATTCACTTCATGACAATTTAGTTGCTGTGAACTCGAATATTCATCATGAGGATAGATAGCGATTAATGGTTGTGGAAGGGAGATTGCACGACGTGATGAGACGACATGTTGAAGTTGAGATGATTTGTGACCAGAAAGATTAGGAAAATAGAAATAAGTTGGTTAAGGGGTAAAACGTGGAAGTTTCTCCTTAACACTTAATAAGACGATACGAAGATTAGCCGAGTAGAAAGCTTTCCTCAGGGATTTCGAAACTCTTTTATTCGAGAATTTCACAGGTGTATCTCCTTTAAATTCGATGTTCTTAGGATAAGCTGGGCTTTGTATTGTCTTCTCGAGTCGGCCTACCAAACAGATTATAATTTTGAAAAGTGAATATATATTTGTGATTGTACAAGTTTGAAGGGGAATTCATTGGAAAGAGAAGTAAATCTTCGCTGAACCAATCTTGCATACTTTCTTTCTAATGTCTCAAGAAGTATCTATTCAGCTTACTCAACAACAATAACAAAATGAAAAACAATTAGATAGTTTATTTTTCGACAAAAGTTCTACAACTTACCATCCATATACCCCAGTAAATGAGATTCCAGAAGACCGTATTTTCAAATATTTCACTACCCAATTTTAAGCAAACTAATAACTCAGTAAGAATTATTGCACTGTAATGATAATAATAATAATAATAAGTTGGATTCAGTAATAAGTTTCTCGTAACACAACTAGATATTTTAAAGTACATGAGAGTCAAACATCAATAATATTGATTCACATGTTAGAAGAAATATACTAAAAATGTGGCATTGTACTATCATGAAAGGAATGAACAAATTCTTAGATGGTCAGAGATAGTCGACAGGAAACAATGGATCTAAGCTTTCCTGTTATTTGGTACTCATCACAATCACGTGTACCTACAATGTTTAGGGAGTCGTCCACTTATGATAAGTTCGAACACAGGTCATCCAACTTCATGGTCTGATTGGTTACCACTGATCCGATTAGACTGTGAGTAACTCCTGTAAAAGTGGGGAACGTTTACGATTTGTTGGTTACTGATTAGTGATAAATGCCATATTGACGTGGTTTAGGAGGCACCAGTTCTCCACAGATTACTGGTACACCTTGCTAGTGGGTGCCAAATGACATGACACCTAGGTCGAGTGTGGTTTCCTGTAGACTACCTTCAGTCGCCTAACATCTAAACGTAGTGTATGTGATGTCAAGCCACCTAGACTAGTGGTCACATCCGAACTTGATTGGTAGCATTGGATCGGCAATTGAAGGGACTAAGGAAGAATGATACTGGTTGTTCACTACTCAACAAATGTTGATCTGTATATGAGAGTTTTTTCCGAATCTATATAATCATAGATATAATGTGTTTAATGCAAACACAAACTGAGCCACTAAAACTGTTAGTCATAGAACTATTTGAATAAACAACGAATAATATTTTCTGTCACCATGATTACTGCTACTCAGTGATCAATTTCTTGTTTATTTGTTAGCATATATACATCTTAATAGTCCGTAATAGATATAAAAAATGCTCCATACAAGCCACTGGATCTTTTCTCGACTTAAAATTGTAAAAGCAAGATTATGACAATTGAAATGGCATGATTTACAAGTGATTGATCACTGGGTAGCGACCAATGTCATGTATTTCAAACCCTTCTTAGTTCTAACCAAGTTGCGATTTAGCTACTAGTCTGAGTTAATATTGCGTTCACTATGTTGAGATACATGGTGGTGATCGAGGGCATTTACCGGGAAACTGTGAACTTAGATTTCGTGTTATTTGGCATTCGTCAGCAAGTTGTACCAGTGATCTTGAGGGGACTGATCCTACCTAGGGGTTTTAATCCCGTGTCACCAAGAGTCACAATCAGAGACGTTACCATCGAACACATGGAGATGTACCAGTGAAATCGATTTTATATAATACAGTAGAAGAAGCTGTGTGAACATGATGGAATGCATCAACACACTCAACTAATTTAGTAACAGTAAAGTAGACAACGGACTAACGCCTTTAATGTTCATTTAATATGTTGTATTCAACCAGCCATATATTCAGTCAATCAGAAATTTTCAATTGAGAAGGCCACATTGTGGCACGTTTTGGCTTGTTATTTTCTATTTTATGGTATGATGCGGTCTGATTTGCTTGTATGTGTGAAATACATGATAAGTACAGTGGAGGCTGATATTTATATTCTGGACTCAAATCGGCAGAGTTAGGCGAGAAGGACCAATAAGGATTCAGATTTGACACAAGGCTATTAGTGCTATTTGACATGTGATTGGCTTCACACAAGGACAAGGTCATATGAGTCAGTATTCTGATTGTCGATTTTGTCACATGATAATTGACAGGAGCAAAAGTTATGACAGTATTCATCAAAGAAAAAACACGTTTTGCGTTCTTCATTCAGAATGACGGATTGAATTATATTGAACTCAATAGTAAACAGTTGTGAATACCATAAAACTGTTACTTTAATGTACATAAGTAATCAATGATGACAAGAAAAAAGGTATTTACAGCAACATATGACTCGGTTTAACTCCACTAGATTCAGCTTCTCAATACAACTCTGAGAATTACCTCTCGAAATCAGTCACTAGTGAGCAAATGATAATTTTCAGTATGGGTTTATGGGGATTGTTAAATTGCATTGAAGTTAGATATTAACACTATTGGATACCGATTCGATAGTCCTAAAGCTAGTTGTTCGCACGCGTGACCGGAGATTGTTGGTTCAATTTGTGAATGTGGGATCGTAGATGTGTTTTGATTGGGAGTCTCAAAGTATGGCGAAACGGGTGACCAGTGCTTCCAGGTTTCCAATGGTGATCTAGCTTAGATCGATTCGGCATTTCAACGGAATTCAAATATCATTACAACCCTGTACTTGCGAGTACATCATTTAAAAGTTATGCAGCTCATCAACCTATACGATTTTTTGTGAATCGGCATTGTTGAGATAAGAATAGCATGGAAAATTGTTAGAAAAATATAGATAATGTAGGGTGAGAAAGAAATAATATTGTAATCACAATTGATTGATCACTGGGTGGTGATCAATGTCATGTATGTCAAGTCCTTATTTAGTGCAGATCGAATGCTATCGATCATGTTGCAATGTGGCCATCGGTCTAGGTGACTCGACACTGCGTGCACTATATATTGAGATTAGATGGTGGTTGGAGGTAGTCGACAGGAAACCCTGGACCCGGGTTCCGTGCTACTTGTCACTCGTCAGCAAGGTGTCCATGTAATTTTGAGGGAACTGGTGCTCCCTGGCGGATTCGACCCTGTGTCACCCAGCTTCACAGTCAACGACGTTACCATTGAACTATCCTGGTCTCCTGTAGACTACTTCCATCCACCAACTAATCTCAATATATAGTGCACGCAGTGTCGAGTCACCTAGACTGATGTCCACATTGCAACATGGTCGATAGCATTCGATCTGCACTAAGTGAGAACTTGACACACATGACATTGATCACCACCCAATGATCGATCAATTGTGATTGCATCTCATTCCTACAGGAGGTCAGTCGCGGGCCGGATAGCTCAGTGGTAACGTCTCTAACTGTGAAGCTGGGTGACACGGGATCGAATCCGCCAGGGAGCACCAGTTCCCTCAAGATTACAGGTGCACCTTGCTGACGAGTGCCAAGTAGCACGAAACTCGGGTTCAGGGTTTCCTGTCGACTACCTCTAACCACCATCTAATCAGAAATAGTAATGTATTTATAAATTCAATCATTTGTTTTGTGTTTGAAGATTACGTAGTGCATAAAAATAATATGAAGTTAGTAAGTGTTATAACGCTCAGTTTTACCCGTCTACATGAATGGAACGTTAATTCACCTTAGACAAATATCTACACTAAATACTCTTCCAGTGTCTATTCTACTAGACTTTAACACAACTAAGAT